TGCTGGACACTAAACACCGTCGAGCCGCTCTTGACAGTCGCGGCAGCACGGTCTGGTGTTGTTTCCACCAGCGTAGCAATTTTTTTCATCACTAATTGATGGATGTCTAATATTTAAAAATAAGGAGAAGCCTAAAACAGGCCTGAGGCCCGGATACCTATTTCTGTAAGAAAACATTTGCAGAATATTGTTCTGTGCTTGAAAACTGCTGACTCTGGCTTCATCTTACGCTTATTTAATAATTTGATACACACTATAACAGAGCCTTTCAATAACATCACTTTGATTTTAAAATGATTGGGCTTGACGTAATTTTCTGCTTAACTCCGAAGAAAGCTTTCAATAATGTATAATGTTACATTTTCCTTTTGTACAAATATATTTGATTGATACAAATATATATTATTGTCTATGATGTTGACAAACTTCTAGTTTCCTATGTTAAGATGTTACACCAGCTTTCTAGTCTCGAGATTAGATTATTGAAATAAACGGTAATATTAATTTAACTAATTGTAATAATAATAATAATAATAATAATAATAGTTGTTGTTGTTTTTGTTGTTGTTATGTATGGTATTCCCTAAGTTATGGGGACCAAATGACCTCACAAGGATAGTAAAACCTGAATTTTTTTGAAATTGTGGGGATTGGCTTGTACGAGGGAAAAAAAATAAATAAATAAAATAAACAATACTAACTAAATTATGTTTACCTGAAAGTGTAAAAATGTAAACAAGTTTTCTGTAAGGGTATAGGTTTAGTGTTAGGGTTGGGTTAGGGGATAGAAAATGGTCAGTATAAAAGTCTATGGAAAGTCCCCACAGTTCACAAAAACCTAACGTGTGTGTGTGTGTGTTAATGTTACAGCGCGACTTCAAATGGTTGTGAAGTGATTGCAGAGTAAATATTTGCATATTTGGCGCCCTCTTCTGATCTGAACATACATCCACTCTTTGGGAGATTGGGGTTCTTTTACGACCAACCAAGTGTAGAACCAATTACCAAAAATTACCTCTACAAATTAGACTGAGCATATTGACCATATTGGCATTTATTAATAGCATCTTAGCTTCACCAATATTAACACCAAATTTGGTGTTTTTAACACCACTTTTTCGGTGTTTTTAACACCACTTTTTCCTTGAATTAAGGGTTGATATGTTTATTAATTAATAATTTAATTAAATAAAGAGCAATAAAATGCACATCCACATGTGTTACATGTGTTCATACAGAGAGGTGAGCACAGAGTGGATGGAGAAGGAGGCGAAGGAAGACAACAGATAATCATGGGCAGTGAGTGAATGAGAGCAAAGATAGCAGTCTATTTTTAAAACCATCTGCTTTGTGTTGAGGGAGACGTTCTTCTACAAGATAAGAAGAACTATACATGTCCACAGAGATAATGAACCACAGTCTGCTTTGATAAAGAAGTATACAAAGTGAAAGCGTAAGATGAAGTCCAAAACCTTCATTTTCAAACTGCTATTTTGATCACATTTGCATAAAACCCCAAAATAGCATCAAGAAACCCTCTTTGTGAATGTCAGAGACAAAACTGAGTAACTGGAAACATTAGGGGGCTATGATCATTTATGATATATATAGTAACATTTTAGTACCTAATGTGTACATGTTAGTAAATGGTAGTACCTACTGAAAGTGTACCACCCCAATTTTGTAAATTTTATCTTAGTGTATGAGTGTATGCAAATAAGGTCCAAAAAGATTAAGCCAGTTCATATTCAAATAAAAGATTAAAGGCTATTTCTGTCATAAACGTTTGTCTGTACAGTATGTTGGATGTGCGTCAGTACTGTTTATTCCTATGTGTGTGTGTGTAATGTTGTGTATTGGTTACCAGCACTAACAGCTGCTCAGTGGGTCTGTCTGAGCCAGTGTTACCAGTGTTACACTATTTCTGGAGCGTGTGTTGTTTAAAAGGTCAGACAG